GCAGGGGTGGGGGGGCATAGGTGGGTGTGGGTGGAAATGAAGGTCCTTTTCAGAGGTCATTTGCAAGAATATCTTATATATTTACATGGCACGTGGCCACACTAGGGATTCTGTGTAGTCTGTGCAACTGACAGCCATGTTAAAATTCAACAAGAAGAAACAATTTAAGAACTGACTTTAAAAGCAGCTATTGGGAGAAGAAAGCAAATGAAACAAAGGAGTGATTGAAGTTAATACTTTTAAGATTACCTCAATAAGAAAAGAGTTGTTTAAAAATCCAATGTAAATCTGTTTCTTAAAGATTTAGGTGTACGGCTTAGTGTTCAGAAATGCTTTTGTGAAAGGATGAATCTACGTTTTCCAAAATGATCCAAATTATGTTTCAAGTTGTTGTTGTGCTTAAACCTTGAAGTAGAAATAAAAATTCAGAAAAAGGTACATATGCTTGTCATGACTTGCTAATTAATTCACTATTTCTTCTGCTACCTCAGGACTTCCACCTACCTATAACTTAAAACTGTGGCTCTCGACTTTAGTATGCATAGGAATAACAGAAAGAGCTCATTAAACATGGATATTCCAGGCCACCCCCCAGTTTTGATTTGCTCAATTTAGGGTAATGCTCTGGAATCTGCATTTTAACAAGACCTACAAGAGGTTATGATACAGGTGAACTGTAGCCCACACCTTGAGAAATACAGCCTTAGACCAATTTCCAAGGGTGAACTCTGAGTTTACACCTTTATGTTGGAGTGGCTGGTTGGATATAACATATGCTCTCATATACTGTTCTATCTTAGGAGCATAAATCTTACCAAATCCCTGTGTCTGGTAGCACAGAGCCAGGACAGAAAAGAGTTCCTGACCTTGGGAAAATTTCCCAGTTTCCTCATATTTAAAATAAGAGAGTTGGACTAAATGCTGTCTAGACTCCTATGTAGTTCTAATAGTTTATATGCATATCTGATGCCTGGCAAATATTTTGTAAAGATTATGACTCATGTGTTGGCCAATGTAGACGGAATGAGCCAGGAAAAAACAGAGATCAGTCTCTGGGTCATTAAAGCAGTTAAAAAGATGAAATAAGATTTCCCCTCAGCCCCAACCTAAGGAGCTAGAAGGTCAATTAGATAATGAACTCTGTGCTTAAATTAAAAAAAGATCTATGCTGTTTTCCTAAAAATTTATGCAACTGTCTACATATAATTATCAGAAATTAGATGTATTGACTGCCAAGTTGCCATCACTGTGTGGATGGTTGACAACTAGTATGAATAAAAATCATGCTTAGAATCTTTTTAAATAATCCTGTCACCAACAGAGTAAACACAACCAACGTCATTTGTGTTACAAATAATTGAATTCAGAAGGTTCCCATTTGACTAACTCCAAGTTAAGTGAAAAACCAATTTCTTTGCTTCATGCTATTGAAATAGTTTTTTTAATATGATAAAGGGACTGTGAGATTAAGTTACAGAAAACAATAGTAGGCTATTCAAACAGAAACACTGAAAAAACTCAGTATTAAAGAAATCATGACTTAACAATTTTTTTGGTGTGCATTTTACACAAGGCCATACATGGTACCTTAATGATATAAATGGAGTAAAAAAAAATCTGTTGGTTGAGGGTTGATTCCAGTCATAAATACTAATTTACTCTGTATTTCCCTAAAACTACTAAAGGTAGCAATAAAAAAATTACCCATTCTTACGATTATTTATTTAAAACAACAGCATGTAATACTGGTACTTAATATTTTTTAAAAAATGTACTGCTTTTAAGACATTTGCAAATAGCTGTAGCAGAGCCTATGAATATAAGGTAGAATCTGTTTTGTTTTGTTTTGTTTCAGCGGTGGTGGTGGTGGTGGAGTTTGATCTCAATTGGACTGTAAACTTAAGAGCAAGGACCAGGGCTTCCCTGGTGGCATGGTGGTTAAGAATCTGCCTGCCAATGCAGGGGACACAGGTTCGAGCCCTGGTCTGGGAAGATCCCACATGCTGCAGGGTAGCTAAGCCTGTGAGCCACAACTACTGAGCCCACACACCACAACTACTGAAGCCTGCGTGCCTAGAGCCTGTGCTCTGCAACAAGAGAAGCCACCACAATGAGGAGCCCGCGTGCAGCAATGAAGACCCAATGCAACCAAAAGTAAATAAATAAATTTATTAAAAAAAAAAAAAGAGCAAGGACCATACTCTTTGTTATTTCTAACACCAACTCCCTGCCTCTACCCTACCTGCCCTGGTGTTCACCATATGTTAGATTCTTAATAAAACTGTTTGATTAACTAAAGATGGTTATGCAACATTATTTGCAATTTAAAGTTTTTAATGGGAAATATTTCCTCATCACAATTCTCCGGGTGTGGTATGGAATTACTGTTAGGATCTAATATTTCCATTTTCAACTGTACACACTCATCCCAACATATTCAAAAGCTTCCTTAAAAGGAAAAAAACCCAAAAAACAAATGAGGAGCTATATTAAAAGGCTTTATTTACAATAGAGAAATTTTACAAATATAGTGTTTAAAAATTATGTGTCGATCTATCATTTCCTATAACATTAGAGATTTATATAAAGTTGGAAATGACAGAATGGATTTAAGTATAAATCAAAAACAATCAATGGAAAGAACTGGTAGTACATATGAAGGCATCATGACAAACATCACTGAGTTCTGTAAACTGCCATACAACTTATATGTGCAATATTAATTGCACGATGTATCCCAAACAAATGCAGAAACACAAAATTAAGTGCTATTTTAATTATTCACCTTTTGGGAATGTGAAAACATATGTAAACTTAATTGCACAGTTTTTGCTGAAAATGAATGAAAGACAGCATTTACCTAAGGACTTCAGTTGTTTAAAATAATTAGTGCAAAATATAACTTTAATTAAATTACATCACCATAATATTAATCTCTTATCTTGTTTACATTTTTGGTGTTTTGGGTTTTGTTAAAATATCCAAGTTCTAGAATTGAAATACCTTTGTTCTTGCCACTGGCCAAGCAACACGCAGTACAATCTTCTTGCCTATTTATTCCAGAATACAAAAGGTACGTCATAGTGCACTGTGTACATACAACTTGATTTTAATATCCTATCTGCTGCAGAAATACCTATCAGCTTGTGCTCTTTCAAATCAGATTGAAAAGCAAAGAAAATAAATTAAGTTAAATTGCTAGTCCAAGGACATTCATGTGAAAATTATAATCTAAATACATATGGCCCAATTTTAACAAGAATCTTCTATATTTTGCCTTTAAGTCCTGGGAATAGCAATCATGATGTACTAAGGGATCTTTTTTTCACTTACTAATTTTATTGATTTATTGTTTGAATGAATAATACTGCAAAAAAGGGCAGGTCACACAAGGTGGACCAAGTCTATTGAGATCTAAGAAAATAACTGTCTTAAAAAATATTAGGTTGAATCACATGAAATTGCTGATACTGAACAATCTTTAAACTAGAAATGCCTCAATTTCACGTGCTTCAGCCTAATCCATGGGGTTGCACTGATCTATTTGACCACTGTAGTTGAAAATGCAGGTGGTCAAAATCTTTGTACCTCAGTATATGCATCATCATATTAGCCCTTTCATGGGAATATATATAAAATATGAACAAATATGATAAGAAAACACAAGGTGTCACCAGATCTATTTTTGGGAAACCCATTCATATCTCAATAAATGCTTTGAAGAGTCATGTAATCATAATTATTTCGAGCTGCTACAGGGTTGTAAGGGATTGGGAGTGTCCATTCCTGTATATTACTTCTAAGTGGAAATCACTATGTTGAATTTAACCAGACAAAATGCACTACATCCTAATTTGGCCTAAAAGTTTATTAGATTTTCCTCAATTGACCATGAATAGATACATTGGCAAAAATTCTTTCAGAGTTAAATCCTGCTTTCATAAACTGAAATGAAATAATTTATTACATTTGAGAAAGGGCTCTTTTCAAATCTGAAAAACCTGAACGAAATGTAATGGTTTCTTTTTTTCGAGAAAAAAGAATTAAAGATGAAATGCAAACAAAAAACCATATGAAATACTCACCCTCTCTTCAGAGAGAGCCCCAAATTCTTCATATATTCAGATAAAAGCAAAAGCTAACACACTAAAAGTTATACAATTTCCCTTTAAAAAATATAATTCGGTTAATAGCAGAGCTCTGAAAAACTGGAAAGCTCACTTCACTGTGTGGTAGAGAATGGAAGAAATTAACCAGTACATGATCCAGAGATGACACAGGGCATTTAAAGTAAACCCTGAGAACTAATTCCCAAATTAGGAAACACTAATATAAGTGACCAACAAAAATATAACATGGATCCAATGAAATGAGGTCAAGAGGAGATGATCCTTTTGGGATGACATTCTAATTTGAATTAAAATGTGAGTAAAGTATTTTAGAAGACATTCTATCAAATAATGATAGACCTGCATAAGGAGGCTTGTCACAGTTATAAGATCTGTCTCTGGTGGATAGACAAACCAGATTAAAACGAAATTGAAAAGGAAAAAGCTTTTTTATTATTTAATTTATTATTATGGCTTTTTGCAACATGGCAAAACATTACAGCTTAAAGCAGACATCATCTCCTCATAGAGGAGGAAAAAGTTTTGCAGTCAAATCAAAATTGTAATTAAGAGGTCATTGGTACACCATTCTATTTAGTTTAATTAAAATGATACTACACCTTTATGCACTCTAGAGATGAAAGATTACTTAAAACAAACAAACAAACAAAAAACCATGTGATTCACTGAATGAATAATAAAGGCTACAATAAGGAATTTAGGTCCATCTATGCTTATGATAATAAACATAAAAGACTGCAAAACAATTTTAAAACTTAGAATAATCACAGACCTATTAATAAAAATTCATCATATGCCTGATCACCAGAAAAAGAATTATTAAGGTATGCAGTGAAGGGAATGAAGGACAGTAAAATATAAAATGTCTTTTTATTTCTCATTGACTTCAACTTTCTTTATATTCCTAGAGAGTACAGGGAGAAGATGTGCCTCGGTATTGAAGATCCAGTGTTCCAGTGGAAGTAGATCGTCATCAGAAAATATTAAGTACAAATATCTGGAGAGAGAAACATGGGTATGTGAGGCCTGAGAGACCCTGTCAGCCAGTGAAACCACAAAGAGACAGAAAAAAACCACATCAATGTCTCCATTCATCTTATGGGAGAATCATGGACAACCGTCAAGTATAGCAAAACCTTAAGGGGTATAATCATTAATGCCGAAGAAAGAAGCTGCTCTGTGCTTTGGTCCCCGTGTACGAGAACCATACAAAGCAGTCCCAAGTCGTCGACCTTACATGATGATGAAAACACACCTGCAATTACTGCCATGCACGTAGAATGCCATTCGGAAGCAGTCACGCTTGATGTTATTTGAATGTGTTCATGATAAAGACAACTAGAAAGAAGATCTCTTCAGGTATCTCAGTCACATACAATCAGAATAATTTTTACTTACTTTAGTGTTTCTGCCAGGAAGAAACTCTGCTGCACATCATCATAGCTCTCTTTGTGGAAGTAAACATCCCTGAGGCCTGAATAGCCTCCTTTCACTCTGCAGTGTTTCTCCAAGGCCTAAATCACAATGAGGAGGGAAAAAAATGGTCACATTCCAGTAAACTGTCACAAATTTTTACCATTAGATTGTCACATATACATAAAATAAGGATTCAAATGGAATGATAGATTGCAATAGTTTCAGGTGAAAATTTAAAAAACCATAACATGTAAATGCAAATAAAGTATGAAAAGTTAAAGGACATATGGACGGTATATCTCATCTAATTGGAAACACTTCTACATTTAGTTCTGGAATTTCAGTGATTTTTACCATTTCTTTTTATGGTCTAGAGCAGGATGCATCAAACTACAGACGACAAGCTATATCCAGCCTGCTTTTTGTTTTTGTAAGGTATTATTGAACCACAGCCACACTCACTTGTTTACATATTGTGTGTGGCTGTTTTTTCACTACAATGGCCGAGTTGAGTAAATGCATAGGGCCCCCAAGCCCAATTCTCTCTGGCCCTTACAGAAAAAGTTTGCTGACCCCTGGTCTAGAGAGATTGTTCATGTCAACTGGGATTCTAAACTGCTGGTTGAGAAAGTGTACTGGACCAAAAACAGCTGCTACTATCAGAATATCTTATTTTAAAAAAATTGACTGTGGAGTACTGAGTGATATTGGTGACTGACAGATATAAAAGAGAAAATGGAAAGCAGTGAAAAAAACATGGCTGGCATCCATTTCTGAAATACATCTTTCTTTTCTTTAGTCTGAGATGGAAGAAAGATGGGATGAAACCACTGGTAAGTACGAAGAGAGAAATGAGCCTACATTTCTATAGCTGCCTGACTGCAATGAGTACTACAGTCAGAGATGGGAAAAGACATGGGTTGGGCAGTGTGGGAACGAAAATTTAGGTAAGACCTAAAATAACTTGCCTTCCATTCTGTCAGCTGCTGCTAACCTGACTGCTCTTTGTATTTGGAAATTACATTGGTTTGCTTTGCTGGTTACCAGGCATAGTCATCTCCAGGAAAGTTATTTCCTATTCACCACATCCTATTAATTCTAATAACTAAAAGGTCAAATAAAGACTTCCACTGTATACAAACTGTCACTGGAAATCTGGTTCTAATTCATAGAATGTGGACAAAAATAATAAAGTGTAAGCCTAAGCCCCTTAAAATTTTTAATGAGATAAAGAAAACATAGGAAACATGAAAAAAATGTTACTCTTAGGTTCTCATGTCATTATTCATTTATTTTTCAGTTTTCTTTTACAGATCACAACCCTGTTCCTCTTTTTTTATGTGCATAATTACATCATATTTTCCTCCCATTTAGCTCAACTACCAAGATATGGCATAGGTCTTGCCATGTTAGTTGGGAAAAATCTTCATTGGCTAGAAAAGGGCTTTGGAGGAAAGCACGGCTCTAAGCATGCAGAGCCCAGAAAACATGAGATGGAAGAGGCAAAGGCATGGAGCACCCCTTATAGCTCCAAATATGTTACTACTACCAATGAGTTGGATGAAAGAAAGGGTTTGGGGGTGAGAATCAGGGAGGAAGGTGTGGCAGCTAAGGCAGTGAAGACAATGTGGTATAGACCACTTTGTGTTTCACGTTTTGTTAGTTGTCTGTTTGCTGCATAACAAGTTATATAAAAACTGAACATCTTAAAAAATGCACAGCGATTATTTCACTGTGGGTCAGGAAACCAGGCATGCCTTATCTGGGTGCATCTTGCTCAGGGTCTCTCACAGTCTATAGTCAAAGGGTCAGCTGGGGTTGCAGTCACCTTAAGGGTCAACTTGGCAGGAATGTGGTGCTGAGAGCTCAGCTTCCACCTGCAGACACTGATAATGAGGATATTGATTCTGCACCCTAGGGCTGGAGGGCAGAAGGGAGAGAGCATGGGGCCCAGAGGAGAAGCATTTAATTACCAGGTGAAAGAAAATCTAACTGGCAGGCTATGTGAATAAAAAACACCCATCTCCTGGTTTGGTACTGTTTAAAAGCCTCGGGGAATATACGAACAATTAACTTAAAAAAAAGCTTTGATTATATTCTTAGTTTCAGACAAAGAGCTAAGGGGGGGAAAAGCCTGAAGAAAGGAACTTTCAGGTCCTATTATATTTTTCCTTCCTTCTTTTTCGATCACAGTTCTTTTTGATAAAAAGTCAAATACCAGATACACTGAGTAGGCCAAAAATTATTTATAAAAAAGGAAAAAATCCCCAAGATTTAGAAGAAATGGGTAAATTTGTTATTACTGAACATAATGAAATCCTATTTCTAGACATCTCCTTAAAAATAAGATTTTATCCACAGATGTTTTTCTTGGCTTGCCCCTTGAATTTTTTTGGTAATAAAGAAATAAGCTAAAGAGAAGGCCAGGCATGATAAACAGCTAACCCTCCCTCCTGTAGAAATTTCTATAAGCTCCTTCTTTTATTATAGGAAAAAGAGTTGTTTTGGAGGTAGGCACTGCCCAAACGTTTTTCATCTTTTCAGTTCACCTCCACTCATTCTTTTTCTCCCCCAATCCTGATGTGGTGAAGCAGAGTAGTCAAGAAGACAATCTAACGTTTTAGAGGTGGGGGCTGAATCCCAGCTCCAGACTCCCTAGCTGCGGCCTCAGTTTCCTCGACCCAGGCAGCAGGCCTTTTCTCAACAAGAGGTTGTCCTGAGAATAAAACTCAAGACTAGTCCAGAAGATGGTAGAGGAGTAAGATGTGGAGATCACCTTCCTCTCCACAAATACATCAAAGATACATCTACACGTGGAACAACTCCTACAGAACACCTACTGAACGCTGGCAGAAGACCTCAGACTTCCCAAAAGTCAAGAAACTCCCCACAAACCTGGGTAGGGCTAAAGAAAAAAGAAAAAACAGAGAAAAAAGAATAGGGACGGGGCCTGCACCTCTCCGAGGGAGCTGTGAAGGAGGAAAGGTTTCCACACACTAGGAAGCCCCTTCACTGGCGGAGACGGGCGGATGGTGGGGGGGGGGAAGCTTCACAGCCATGGAGGAGAGCACAGCAACAAGGGTACAAAGGGCAAAGCGGAGAGATTCCCGCACAGAGGATCGGTGCCGACTGGCGCTCACCAGCCTGAGAGGCTTGTCTGCTCACCCGCCAGGGTGGGCGGGGGCTGGGAGCTGAGGCTCAGACTTCGGAGGTCATATCCCAGGGAGAGGACTGGGGTTGGCTGTGTGAACACAGCCTGAAGGGGGCTAGTGCGCCACAGCTAGCCGGGAGGGAGTCCAGGAAAAAGTCTGGACCTGCCTAAGAGGCAAGAGACCACTGTTTTGGGGTGCATGAGGAGAGGGGATTCCTTCCCTGTCTGTCCACAGAAGGCAGCAGAGCACTGCCTAAACAAGCTCCAGAGACGGGCACGAGCCGCAGCTATCAACTCAGACACCAGAGATGGGCTTAAACGCTAATGCGGCTGCTGAAGCCACCAAGAAGCCTGTGTGCAAGCACAGGTCACTATCCACACCTCCCTTCCCAGGAGCCTGTGCAGCCCGCCACTGCCAGGGTACTGTGATCCAGGGACGACTTCCCTGGGAGAACACACTGTGTGCCTCAGGCTGTTGCAACGTCATGTCGGCCTCTGCCACAGCAGGCTCGCCTCGCATTCCGTACTCCTCCCTCCCCCCAGCATGAGTGAGCCAGAGCCCCCTAATCAGCTGCTGCTTTAACCCCGTCCTGTCTGAGTGAAGAACAGATGCCCTCAGGCGACGTGCACGCAGAGGCGGGGCCAAACCCAAAGCTGAACCCCAGGAGCTGTGCGAACAAAGAAGAGAAAGGGAAATCTCTCCCAGCAGCCTCAGGAGAAGGGGATTAAATCTCCACAATCAACTTGAGGTATCCTGCATCTGTGGAATACCTGAATAGACAACGAATGAACCCAAAATTGTGGCGGTGGACTTTGGGAGCAACTGTAGACTTGGGGTTTGCTGTCTGCGACTGACTTGTTTCTGATTTTTATGTTTATCTTAGTATAGTTTTTAGTGCTTGCTATCATTGGTGGATTTGTTCATTGGTTTAGTTGCTCTCTCTCTTTTTTTTTACTTAATTTTTTAATTTTAATAATTAAAAAAATTTATTTTAATTATTAATTTAATTTATTATTATTATTATTTTCTTTCTTTTTTTCCTCCCTTTTCTTCTGAGCCATGTGGCTAACAGGGTCTTGGTGCTCTGGCTGGGTGTCAGGCCTGAGACACTGAGGTGGGAGAGACAAGTTCAGGACACTGGACCACCAGAGATCTCCAGGTCCCACATAATATCAATCGGCGAGAGCTCTCCCAGGGATCTCCGTCTCAATGTTAAGACCCAGTTTTATCCAATGTAAAGCAAGCTCCAGTGCTGGACGCCCCATGCCAAACAACTAGCAAGAGAGGAACACAAACCCACCCATTAGCAGAGAGGCTGCCTAAAATCATAATAAGGTCACAGACACCCCAAAACACACCACTGGATGCAGCCCTGCTCGCAGAAAGACAAGATCCAGCCCCACCCACCAGAACACAGGTGCCAGTCCCCTCTACCAGGAAGCCTACACAACCCACTGAAGCAACCTTACCCACTGGGTGGGGGCAGACACCAAAAACACCAGGAACTACAAAAAAGCAGTCTGCGAAAAGGAGACGCCAAACACAGCAAGTTAAGCAAAACGGGAAGAGAAATATGCAGCAGATGAAGAAGCAAGGTAAAACCCCACCAGACTAAACAAATGAAGAGGAAATAGGCAGTCTACCTGAAAAAGAATTCAGAACAATGATAGTAAAGATGATTCAAAATCTTGGAAACAGAATGGAGAAAATACAAGAAATGTTTAACAAGGACTTAGAAGAACTAAAGAGCAAACAAACAATGATGAACAACACAAGAAATGAAATTAAAAATTCTCTAGAATGAATTAATAGCACAATAACTGAGGCAGAAGAACGGATAAGTGACCTGGAAGATAAAATAGTGGAAATAACTATTGCAGAGCAGAATAAAGACAAAAGAATTGAGGACAGTCTCAGAGATCTCTGGGACAACATTAAACACACCA